CTTCTGTCAGCAGGATGAGGTGGCCGCAGCCAAAGCTGCTGCTGTGGAGCAGTATGCCCCCAGCCTCAACGACGCAGTGCAACGAATAGGTCTGGGTGTTGGAGGATGTTGTGCCAGGCTGTGGCACAATCTTCTGTGAACTGATCTTCGTCTGAGCCGCTGGGAGCTCAATCTCTTTGGAGCGATGTCTGCTTCAGCTCGACTCGCAGCGAGAATGCATCCGAGGGATCGCCATTTTTCCATGTATATAGTTGGTTGCGGCACGGTCCCGAGCTGTGGTGACGGTGACCATCAGAAAATCTCGGTGTTCCCGAGACCTGCCCGAGAGGTCACAGCGGCATCGCTGCTCGGCCCGTGCCTTTGATGGGAGCGTTGCTCTGTGACACCGCGGCAGAACCGCCCGAGGTATTTAGGCGCCTTTTCCGAACTGCCAAAACTTGGCAGGCCGGATGCCGAGACAGGAATTTTCGGTGTTGTTGTGCTGGATGGATAGACGGGGGTCTCTCCAAGACTCTACCTGCTGCTAAGTTCCGGCTGCCTTCACCGCGGACGCTCGTCTGCAGAAAACCTTGCACCGCAGATCATCGTCAGGTTGGAGAGTGTTGCCATCGTTGCAGGCCGTTCCATCCAAAACTTGGACCGACCGCTCCTCCTTCGTATAGATCTCGGCTGCTTAATGTGGTGAGCTTAATGTGTTGTGCGTGCGGACACGTGTGCGGGTTTATGGTCTCATTTAGCGTCAGTCTGCACAGGCTGCCCAGTGGGTGAAGTGACCTTGGCTGTCTGACGAAGCTAAAGCATGCAGCCGGAACACGTGAAATTCAAGCGGTTCTTCAGTGAGCCCTGGCCGAGATCGACGAATGACATGGTTTTCCAAAAGTTACTGTGCACTGCACACAGTATGCAGCCTCGATGCCGTTGATCCAAGCTGACTCTGTTGCTGAGACGATTTCGGGGGCGAAGTCTCGACAGTGCCAACTTCCCGGTCTGAGTCCGGGTGCTCCTCGGCGAAGAGTGTAAGCAGTAAAGCAGTATAGCTTGAATCTTCACTTTACAGGGCTGGGAAGTTGGCGGCTGCGAGACGGGTTCAAGTTATTGTAAAAACCCTTGAACTGGGCGGCCTGACCCTGAGCCCTGGGTTGGGAGGCCCCCGCTGCGTACCACGAGGGCCTCCTCTGTGATCATGCCCTCTCTTGGAGCAGGTCCCTTGAATCACTCGAGCGCTCTGAGAGGCAAAAACTTCACCTGGGACGTAGTGTCGTGGAGACATCTTTGGGGGACCTGAGCTTCAACAGCTATGCTGTGAACATGGGCAGTAGGAGCCTGGATGCAGAGCCGCCTCGGCTGCAGCTCCAAATCTTACGCGGAGTTCGTGAGCAGTAGAGCCTGCGGCGTCCCTGCAATGAGGGCCGTGCCCGTGCGAAAGTTGGCTTCAACGATCTTGCCTTCTCAACCTTTATTGAACTCGTTGCGAAAGCTACAGTATGCACGGGGTGTGCGGCTGTAGGCCAAAACGTGGGAAGTCATGAAGGTGAGAAGAAGAGCCACTTCTGCCAGGTGGAATTTTTTTCATCGGCCAGCATGTGCTGCGTCTCTTTCTTACGGGCGAGACTCTGTGACGAGTACGTCGTACGTGCATTGGTGTTACGAATGTTGGCATCAAGCTTCAGGCATGCTTCTTTTTTGAATCAAACAGCGGGCCGCTGGCAAAGCCTGGTGAGTGAGACTACACCGCAGACCCCGCTTGATTCAAAGGTACCACGGACCTTGCCCCTGATGTGATTCCAGCCTCCAATCGCTGCCACATCAGTTGTACAAACATTTCAACGTGTCGAAGATACTCTGCCGACTGGGAATTTATCCGGGAATCCAGCAGCTTCTGTGCCACATCGGAGGGCGGAGCGAGACTTGCATTGCACAGCCTAGGGGCGAGGAAGGGACGGTGTTCTGATGGGTTTACTTCGCCAACACTTGGGCATGGACCAGCTGCAAGTTGAACTGGCATCGAGGGGGAAAAGCCTTCGTTGGCACAATCTGAACCTGTGCAGAATCGAATCGAACACAGCGCAAGAACCCCGCCAAGGCAACAAAGTGGTGCGTAGCTGTGCGTAACACACGAGAGCGCCAGGGGCACACCGGAGGGCCCTTGCCCTTTACTGCTTTGCGTCACTTGCTTTCTGCCAGGCCGAGCAAGTTCGGAATCGACGCCGGTGACGCGGGCCGACACTGTCACGATGAAAAGCAGTGGATTGCATGAGCGGTTTGCGCTAAATCCTATGCGGCGGGCCACAAAATAACATTCGGATGTTCGGAGATTTTGACTGATTGCTCTCAGATGCATCATGGAGCACTGGACATCACAGGAATGTAATCCACATGTAATAAATCAATAGGAATCACAGAGAGGACAGCTTCACTGAACGTGCCGACAGCAGACTTCTTTGCTCTGATGGCACAGTCAAGTTTCCTTGGCGATGGTAAGCTGACGAAAAAGGAATCCTCGGGCTCAGTCCGGTTGACTCGAGCTGAAGTGGCAAAGCATTGCACGGCTGGTGACTGCTGGGTGATTGTGAACGATCGGGTCTATGATCCTTGGATTGTTGGAGGAATATGTTGTCTGGTGGCTTGTCCAGCGTCCCACTTGCTTCTCCGCATACTGGTTCTCGGTGTTTATAGGACTGCCAACCTCAGACCACAACAAACGTCAGCACTGCTGGCGCGATAAATTGTAAGACTCGCTGTAACTTGCACGGCTACACCGAGGATGTGACTGGATTCCTTGATGAACATCCTGCAGGCAGGAACATCATTCTGCTGCATGGAGGCAAGGACTGCACGAAAGAGTTCCTGGAGGTTCACAGTGAGGACGGATCCCGCATTAGATCGAAAAGAGTTCTTGTTAAGTAAAGAAGAGATGGCGAAAGGGCTGCAGAGAGTGCACCCGCCCGGAGGACTACATTCTTGCATTTGCCCCCAACTCCTTCGTGGGATGCCTGGAAGGGTCTTCTGCCCTGCCCCCGAAGAGGCCAGCCAACACTGTGCCGGTGCCTGCCCAAGAGCCATCTACGTGCACTGCTCCTGGAGTCGTCCAGCCTTGGTCTGCACGTCTCTCAGGTCCATTTCGACAGTGGCAAGGTCCTGGCACTGAAGCGCAACGTGTATGGCGATGAGCACGAAGCATACCGAGCTTCATTCAGGAGTCACCCGCTCGTAGCTTGCTGGACTGATCGCAAGCCGCTCTTGGCATGTTTTTCGAATGCCAGCTTGGAGCCAGGACCTTCCTGCAGAAGTACGTGCAGCCTGAGTATGCCAAGTTTGAAGCAAAAGGTCTTGTTGACAGAGAAGTTTATTCCAGGATGGCCCAAGAAGGCTTCTACCTTACACTTGGCATCCCTTCAGCATGTGGGGGTCGTGGGCTCGACTGGAAACACAACTGTGTCGTGGTCGAGGAAGTCGAGGATCTCGGATGTGGAGGCCTCTTCGTAAACCTTGGCAATGATATGGTCCTGTCTTACTTCACAGAGAGCTGTACCGACGAGCAGCGAGCTCGCTGGCTGCCGAAGCTGAAACGCGGAGCTGCGCCTTAGCAAAATCGGGTCCAGGCATGCCGTGTCTCTGTTTGTGTGTGTGCGCAGAAGTTTGAGGTCATTGCAGTGGCGATGTCCGAGCCAGAAGTTGGCAGTGACTTGGGCCAGCTTTCCTGTCGTGCGACGCCTTCGCCCAAGGGAGGGTGGATCGTGAATGGAAGGAAGATGTGGATCTCCAGTGGCGCTGTGGCGGAGCTGACCGTGGTAGCATGTGTCACCGATCCGACCAGAGGGGCCAAAGGAATTTCCATGCTTGTGATTGAGTCGGAGATGCCGGGTGTCAGCTGTGCCAAGCGCTTCGGCAAACTGGGTAAGCATGCCAGTGATACCTGCCTCATTACCTTGGAAGATGTGCATGTACCCCGGGAAAACCTGGTAGGCGAAGAGGGGAAGGGCTTTCAGTACATGATGCATCACTTGCCTCGAGAACGTCTTTCCATCGCGGTGGCGAGCATGGCGGCGGCAAGGAGGGCCTTGGCTTTGGCGGTGAACTACGTGCATGGCCGCGCAGCCTTCGGTGCGAATCTGGGCACTCTTCAAGGAGTGCAACAAGAGCTGGCCAAGATTCGAACCGAAGTGCAAGTCGGCACTACTTTTGTGGACCGGTGCATTGCGGATGCCTGCCAGAAGCAGCTGTCCGCTGAGGCGGCCTCCATGGCTAAGTCTTTCGGCAGATCTTCTAATTTGCGTCACTCCGGGCCTTCCTTGCCGTTTCTTGCACCCTGGCTCTGCAGCATGCTGAGGTTCTTTGCCACAGACCTTAGCTTTCGTGTGGCCGATCGGTGCCAGCAACTCTTCGGAGGAGCTCGGGGGGGAGGGGGGTTTCGAGTGGCATAGGTCCTCTGCGTTGTATCGTTGATAGTCTTGATGCTGCGTCGATGTGAGGATATGGCTATTTGAAAAATTCGCCAATTGGAAAGATCATGGTGGACCAAAGAGTCACAAGCCTGAGCCTAGGTCCTTGCAGAAATCTTGCAGAAGAATTGGGGTAGGTGAATCACAAGCTGCGTGCTCTAAGGAGTTTATGGCGGCGCGAACGAAGTGCAGCTTGAAATCATTTCTAAAGGCTTGGGCTTTAAGCCCCAGCGCACGAGCAGGTTGTGACTTCGGACAGTTACGCGCTCTCAACTTCGAAAAGGTAGTTCGTGCAGTTTCGTATCTCGTTTAGGCGATGGAGTTTGCTGAAAGCCACAGCCCAGACGAGATTCCATGTTGACTTGTCTGACATTACCCAGCCATCTCGTAGCAGGAACGAGCTGTCATAGACTCGTCATAGACTGTTGCGCTTACTGGTCCGACAGACACAGTAAGCCAGTAGCCTTTTGCATTTCAGCTGATTGTCAGATGGTTTCTGCATAGAGACAGAGTGACATCAAGTGATTGCTTGAGCTCTAAAGCTTCATTGGCGGCCTGATGCCTACCGCAGAGGTGCAAGAAGGCACTCTAGTCTCAGGAGCGCATCTGAAGTGCAGTGTGTTTTATGTGCAGTAGTCTGGTGAGGCGCTCCTATCAGGGTGGCCGAAGCCTCTGAGGAGAGAGCGGAGACACTAAACACTTCCGTGGAACTCTGTCAGGTCCATCTGCAGGCTCGCGGTGACAAGCAGACGGTCCTGGATCCGGCTGTCCGCTCAGCCGCGCTCAGCGGCTCGGCAGGAGGAGAAGAGGCCATAGCGGACGCGGCTCTCCAGGTTCATGCGGAGTTGCGGTTCCTGTCGAAGTGGCGGCCGCACCTTCGTTTGAAATTCGCCAGCATCTAAGCTACGTGGACACCGGCTGTGGAAAGCGCGGACATTGCCGCAGCACTTGAGGAAGGGTCCAGCTATCCCACCATCGCTGCGCTGGGGTGCGCCAGTTCCGAATTCCCGAGTCCCCTATCTTCCCATTCGTTCTTGTCGCATGGGTAGATGTCCAGCTTCAGCAGGGGTTCCTGAGATTCCCAAGGCTGTGAACATGAGGGCCGCTGAGTGAACCTTTGTTCGAACTCGACGACGAGTCGCACTAGAACGAAATCGCTCAACAAGTGGAGTCCCCCACCGCTTCTGTCTCTTAAGGATGCCTGTCTTCCATGTCTCAGGGAGGCTTGCAACCTGCAAGTCGGGGGGATTGTGGATACACAAGCCTGTTGCATGCACGCTGCTTTCCTCTCAGACTCTGTTTCGCAGCCTGCAGAGCCATTCGTCACTCATGTTGCCTCGATCTTTGGATGCGGTCCCGAGCCCTTGGTATGATACGTCTGTCGAGCCCTGTGACAGTGTGAGAGGCAACTTCCGGCTGCTTTATCAGCAGACCACGGTGTCGTCGCTCGCAAGGACATCTTGACATGGGCAGTTGAATCTGTACAGCTGAAAGTTGACGTTTTTTCATGGAGGACCTGAGGCAGCTCTTGGCCACGGCCCATGTCGAGATGCGATGCTGAGCCATCAGCAAAGATTGAGCCCACTGAGGCATACGTGGATCCCCAGGGATACGGAGCATCCCTCGCTTCAGACGATGAAGCTTTCTTGCACCTTCTAGGCCGACCAGGGACCGCTCAGTCTCGGTTTGCAATGGCTACTTCCGCCATTCCCTCCGTCAGATCGAGTCGGGATCCTGATCGCGGCACTGCTTTACCAGGATGCAAGTGTGCGAGCCTTACACTTCCTTGCAGTTCACCCGGATTCCACCGGCCAGATGTTGAAAGCAGAAGCGGCTTGTCTCAGATCTGGGAAATGCACACGCGACCGACCCTGCTCTCCTGCGCGCCGCCTGGCTTTGGCACGGCCACGACCCGAGCTGCGAGCTCCCGGAGCCAAAGCCAAAGCCGGCTCAGCCGCTCAGCCGCTCAGCCGCTGAGGTCACAGCCTTGATGGAGCGCCGGCGGCAGAGGCAGCGGCTCCAGGAGGCGAGGCTCCGCTGTGGAAGGGGCCCCCAACTCGGGATTTGGGGGCCTTGGAGGCCACCACGTGCGGTCTGCCGAGCGCCCAGATCCACAGCAGTTCGATGATTCTGGAGCTGCGAACAGCATTGGAGGCGGCAATAGCACTTTGCAGCCAGAGTACTGCAGCGGATTGAACCGCAGTCAACAATCAGCCAAGCCAGGCGTTGTCAGAACGACTCGGCGACCAAAGCTTCGGAAAAGGACTGCGAGCATGCGAGCTCATGTGCTTCCCGCGAGCAAGCTTACCTCTGCCCCCAAGGAACTGACAAGCAATCCGGCAGTGATCGTGAAGACAGGACTTGACGCCGTCGCTTCTCCATGGGATCCTGGTTACTGTAAGTCTGCTGCGATGAGCCTCCAGGCATGGGTTCAGCCGCCTCGATGCACGAGCTTACGCGTTCCGAACTCGGCTGTTGCAGAGCTTGGCAGTTGCAAGTCCCATGATGACTTCATTTCGGACTGTCCGGAGTCTTACGGAAGTGTCGGGCTCGAAGAGCGACCGGTGCCCTTGCAGCGGAGCTGGGAGCGCTTCCACAGGAAGTCTCCCTTGTACAGATGAAGACCGTGTACCTGCTGAGGCATGGAGAAGCGCTTCACAACTTGGTCGACAAAGGTGCCGGCAGCTACGAGCGGCGCAGGGACCCCTCATTGGCGGACCCTCCCCTGACAGACAAGGGCACCTCTCAGGCATTGGCTGCCAGAGATCTGCTTGAAAAAGATGCCTGGCTGAAGCTCTTGTTTCGTCGTGAAGACTTCTGGAAGTCCTTCGTTTGTGAATTGTATGGAACTTGGTCTAAAGCTTCACTGGTGGGTGGATGGCATCTGAGAACGGGCTTTTCGTCATTCATGTAGCGAAATTCCATTATCTAGATTGAGCCGTCGCTCTCTCGAAAGGCCTTGCAACGGCCCGTGTCCCCGCAATGTTAGAGACCGTTCGTGTTTCATGTCTTCCTTGTTCGTTCTTTATTCAAGACACGATCGCCCGCCTGCAGGAGAGACGAGTTGTGTTTTTTTAGTGTTTTGCTCAACTAAGTTTTGCTGCGGTTTCGTTCCCGTGAGAGTGGTTGGATGTTTCTCCGCTCAGGCTTTGAGCGAGCGCGGCGAAGGGAAATTTGATGCGATTGTGAGCTCCACACTGCAGCGTGCCTTGCAAACCGCCGAATTGGCGATGTTGCCACTGAAGGCAGACAATGCCCCTGTAATCGCATTGGACCAAATAGTCGAAATCCAATGTGATGACGTTTGGAACGAGTCACGACACAAAGACGAAGTCCAACAAGACTGGCCTGCATGGGAAGTAGAATTCGCAGCCAGTGAAGCAACACATCCATTCCGATTGCTGGACACAGCACAGTCGCTCATTAGACGTGCTGAATTCGTGTGGAACTACCTGATGCAGTTGCCAGGGTCTGTCATCGGTGTGGCTGCCCACGGATGTATCCTTTTCTTCCTTTCTCGACGGATAGCTGCTTCCAAGGGACATCGCATGCCGCCTTTCAAGGAGGATAGATGGCAGAATGGTGAGGTTCGTCGATACATACTCCCGCCTGCCGATGGGATGGCCATGACCTGGACAGAGTATGGCGGCTATCTCGACATGATGGACTATGACTTTTACAATCGATATCACCGCCGTGCGTCCTTCGTGAATGTCGCCCGATTGCGTGGCTTCGAGGCCGAGATATGGTGGCTGGCGGCAGAGTGGCGCTGGTCCCGCTGCGACTCGGAAATCGAGGCGGAGCTTGAGAAAATCGAAGTGGCCAACTCGTTCTCTCTTCCATCCTTCCTGAACGCAGAGGCCATCGCCAAGTGCTGTTTTGCACGAATCAAAGCATAAGACAGCCCGGTGCTACAGAGGGCTTGACGAGTTCCTTTTAGACGGCGACGAGGCATAGCCTTGTTCGCTGCTTAGATCACTTAGCTCGAACAGGATTACAGATCTGGCTCTGGACAGAAAGCGCGAAGCTTCGTTGATGTCATCCGTAGTCTTTCGAAGTCCAGTGCCGTTTTTTTTCTTATGTGAGCTCGCAGGCATCTCGTGGTCCTATTTAGCATTCCCTGTGACCCGGGATCCTGCCTTGCACCTGGGCACCTGCATCTTCGGAATCTGTTGTGCAACACGCGTCGGCTGGGTGTCGGGGACTTGGCTGAGCAGAGGCCTTCAGCGCTTGATCGCGCCTCAGTGCCTGTTCCCGGCGGAGTTTCCACATGCTTGTGGTGACTTTGCACAGGGTTTTCCACCGTCTGTGCCTTTCCAACTGTCTGAAGGTTGTGCGACTTTCCGTCTTTGTCTCGATTCGTCGGCCTTGTTGAAGAAAGGCTGCAATGATGAGTGCATGTATTGACGAGATCGGACAAGCTTCTTGCACACTTCTCCTCAACATGCGTTAGGGGCTCGACATGGACAGGCTGCCTGGCACATGGCCGGACTATTCCACCTTCATGCTGGCCTGGAGCACAGCCTCTGCATGCCTTTGCCTCTGCCTAGATGGCCCAGCTCTGCCGCTCTGCCTGCCCGCAACTACCATCGAGGCGCTGCCTCCCGAAGATCGCCCGCCGCCTCCGCCCCAAAGTCAGGGAAGTGCCGACGGCCCAGAGGAGCTGATGGCGGAGAGTAGCGGAGCATAGCGGAGCCTTGCTGCCCTTGTGGTGTCCGAGGTGCTGGTGGGCCCCGTTGAGAAGAGGAGACCGGAATGGTGCGGCGCTGGGGGGCAGCGCAATCCAGAGCAAAGCAGAGCAGAGACGAAGAAGTCCCCTGCTTCTTTCCCTTCAGAGGTGGGAGCTCTGGGGATCGCACCTCAGTGAGCCTCGCCGCTCGCAGTCCGCATCTGCGCGTTTCAGTCTGGAGAGGCTGGTCCTGGGGAGGTCGCAAACGTCCCGTGCAGTTTGGCGGACCAGGTCGGTTCTTTCCTATAAGGCAACAAAGCACCACCAGACTCACTAGGATGCGTAGCATCTTACATATGCTCGTCACTGCTGCCATCATGCAGGAAAGGCACCACCTGCCATCTATGCCATCTGCTTCGGAATGGTCACTAGCTCAGTCGCAAGGAGAGCTCGGTTCAGGTGAAAGACTCGTTCCGGGTCTTGCTTCTGGAGCGTCAACTATACTTGTCTATACTTGTCCAGGGGTCAGGCCAACGACAGCTCTGTCAAGTCAGGGGATGATGGGTTGCAGCGCTTAGACTGTAGACAGTCGCAGCGCAGCAGCCCGACACGACATCTGAGGCATCCGGCCTTTCGTTTGCCGTGGCCCTGGCGTGTGGACTTGGTCCTGGAAGGTGCATGGCAGCGTGCGCAGCGTCCAAGTCCAAGTGCTCTTTTCGGTGCACTAGCCGCATTGTTCTAGATCTCGTTGAGCCGTCAGGTTGCTGCTGCTGGGTTTTTGCTCAAAATAAAAGCCTGACATGAATGGCTTCGATCCGTTACCCGGTGCCTACCGTAGATGCCTTCTTTGGAGGAGGCTCCCCTCGTTAGCTCGCGGACCTTGGAAGTAGATGAGGGCTCCCTCAGCCAGTCCACCCGTCCGACGCTCGTCAAGGCGCCGTTGAAGCTTTTCGGCTCTGATGCTGTGCTTGTTGTTGCATGCGCAGGTGTTGCAGAGGAGTTGGAGCCACATTGGCTGGCTCTGCATTTCTCTCGCCGCGATATGTTGCGCCATCGGTTTAGGCTCAGTGGCTTCACGCAGACCACTGCAGCAGCTACGGACGACGGCCGTCCGCATGGACGAGAAAGCTTCAGTTTTACCAATGCCAGATCTATTCTGCTTCACGGTCATGGGAGTACCTGCCCGGGAACAAGGGCTCCTTCTGTCGCAGAAGAGCAAGCAAAAAGGACCTCAAGCTTTCGCAACCGTTTTCCTTTGCCAGATTTTGCCAGGGTTGGAAAGTTCTGCGAATAGGTGGTGTCGTCGTGCCGTCAGCCTCAGGACTCTTCGAATGTCCAGATTGGGCAGTCTTCGCATCCACGAAGATACCGCCTTGTTCCCATGTGATTGAAGGCCTGCAGACGCAGGTCCCAAGCGGCGGGCAATGGAACACTGCTCTCAACACCCCAGTCTTCGCTGCCATCTGGAAGAAGGTGCTGGAGCTCCCCGAATTCAAAGCCCACGCCTGGACCGTGAAGCTGGATCCTGACACAGTCTTCCTCCCGGCTCGACTCGAAAGCTTTCTGCCCAAGAGCGCTCGGTCACCGACTTTTCTGGTCAACTGCAACGAGGGGTTACATGGTCCCATCGAAGTGGTGTCCAGAGCAGCTGTGGAGAATGTGCAGTGGGAGACTTGCATGTCAAGCTTTGGTTTCGTCCGTTCTAGCTTCTTTCTAATCTGGTATTGATTGCGACCGTTTCTCGTTTGTGCCAGTCTGCTTCTCTGATCATCCGTGCAGTGTAGCTGACGTCACTTCAACCCTGCTTCGATTTGCTGTGATAGCTGCCTCTCAGATTTCAGTAGACCAGGATACATGCTTGCTTAGTGTGTTGAGAGGGTGGGGCACTTCGGCTTTGGTTCTTGCTGAACTGCTGCCGACTTGCCCCTGCAAGCCATGAAATTCTCACGCGGCCTCCAGCTGAGGAAACATGTGGCAACATTCAGGTGGAGGACCTGAAGGGTCTTGAGGTTTGGACTCAAGAAGCCGGCCCGTGTTAGCCACTTTGCTACTGTACAGCTGGGACCCACGAGCATAGCCAAAGAAAGCTGCACCAGGACCTGTGGCTCCAAAGTTGTTTGTTCCGATCGGGGGCTTTACCCCGGCCAGCCTTCCCTGGCATGCTCCTGGAGAAGGGATGCGTTCCAAGAATCCAGGCCAGCTGCGGACGCTCAGTCTGATCAGTTTGTTTATTCCAAGCTGAGTTCAGTACACCTGCTGACACCCCCGATGTGGCACCCAAGGAACAGCGAATGTGGCTTTTCATCCAAAGAAAACGTTTCCTGAGTGGTGGAGCTGTTGGCTCCAAGCCTTCGCGTTTCCACAGCCGGGCTGGACAGGCGAGGTCCGCAACACCCGCTGTGAACCTGGAGCAGGTCGGGGGGTGCCTTCCATGGGAGCACTCTAGCGTTGTGACGAGCAAGCTCATGAGCTTGCATGCTGCCGCGGGCGGACTGGCGCACATTCGCAAACCATGCAAGCCCTCATGGTCGGACGCTTCACGGAAACACTGACACACGGTCGTTGGCTTGGCACGTTGAGGTACTGATGCACCACTGCAGGCATGCACGCGTGCGCACATCCGTTCGTGCCATGCATACACGCTTGGGACTATCCCATACTCTGTCTTGCCAGACCGCAAGCTTTGTGCGCTCATGAATGCGAGCATGCGTAAAGAAGGATGGTTGGGAAGGGACTACGCATGTCTAAAAGTGAAGGTCCTGCATGATAGCATTTATGCTCGAATGCAGAGCCTTGTGTTCTTTTGCTGCCCATTCAGCCATGCTACATCCTTCGGTGCAGGCAAGGCTGGGAGCAGAAGCGCAGGCTATTCTTGAGAAGCTCCAAATAGGGAGCGATGCAGATCTCGCGAACTACTTTGTCAGTGAGCGGGAGATCTTTGAGGCATTTTCTGAAGCTCTCGTCATTTCTCAAATCACTGCAGCATGGCGAGTAGCCCGAGTGCTGGAAGACATTGATCATGACAAGCTGCCTGCTTTGGCTGTGAGTCGTAAGCGTTCGGGCGACGAGGCTGTTTGGTTGCTGCTAGACCCAAGGCACGGTCTGTGCCACCTGCTTCTTTTCTTCAGAAACCGTTTCGGATTATGTACGCGACGCCATCAGTGGGCAAGCCCGCAGCAGCGGATGATCGGCTGCCTCTCTTGGACACCTTGTTTCAGACGGCTAGAGCGACAGGATCTGAGAACGTGCGCTTTGGGAGTGATCTGACTACTGCCCCCGCTTTGTGCCGCCCCTTCTTTGAGCGGGCCTTGCAAAGCGTGAGTACAGAGCAACTGCATGCCCATCGCAGGAGTCTCAAGCGTTGGACTAGTTTTCATGCCCAACACTGCCCGGCTGAGGTACCTTACTGGCGACCTTCTGCGTTGTCGTTGGCCCAGTTCTTGGAGCACGTTAGCCGTGGTGGCCCTACAGCTGCTCGAAGCGTGTACGTCAGTTTGAAATGGTGGCGTGACGTTATTGGCCTCCCATTACCAGTGCTCGATGGCATTGTGCAGCACTGGAGTGTGGCTGACCAGAGCCACTGCAACACACCCAAGCTCCCCCTCCCTTTGGTAATCTTCTTGGCCTTAGTTAGGTTTGCCCCGCGGTTTAAGGGTACCTTGGCCTCCGCTGCTGCGTGGATATTGTTGGCTTTGGGAGGTTGTCTTCGCTTTGCACATATGCAGCGTTCCCACTCGTTGCATGTCGTGGGAGATTTGCTCTACGGCACCTGTGCTAAGGGCAAGCGGCGCGTGGGCCGTGTGCGGCCACCTTTCAAGTGGGCGGCTCCTGCTCGCATTGGAGGTTTTGATCTTGGGGAAGTCTTGGTTCGCGACTGGACTGAGATGCAACAGAAGGATCCAACAATTACTTTTGTAGTGCCTGATTTGCACTTTGGTCAGCAGAATCCGCTCAATGCAGGTACCAGTCGAGTTCTTCGTAAGATGGGGATCAACAAATTTAGCCATATGTTGCAGGCTCTTTGTGCAGCTGTGCCAGCCTCTAAGCTCGAGCAGCCTTTGACCTCGTATGCACTGCGCCGTTTTTTGCCAACGGCTGCGGACATTTTACTTGTGCCGAGTGATCTTAGAGATGCCATAGGCAACTGGACAGAGAAGCCATCCACTTCTGCTGAAGCCAGTCAGGTATCGCGTCGACCTGCATCCCATCAGATGGCGGTTCGGTATGCCCATTGCAATGTTGCTACTGCTGGGCACGTCAAACGCCAAATACTTGTGGCATTGTTGATGGCTTGTCGCAACATGCCTGCGTCCACGCAGCCGGATTGGGAGTCCGCCAGGGCGTATGCTCCAGCTTGGCACGAGGTAGAGGCCATGGCCAACATGCAGGTGCCGTCAGCACAACCGGATGCTGCACCGTCTGCGCCTGCCAGTCCCGCTAGCAGCAAAGACTCTGCCTCTTCCTCGAGCTCCTCAGAGTCAGATGATGTAGAGCAGGCGGCCCTAGAGTGGTTTGTGCAAAGGCCCGGAGGCCAGAAACACTTGATTCAGCGTGCTGCGCAGGGACGCCTTGTACCATGGTGCAGGGATATTGCCTTTGACTCTGTTCATGCTGAACGAGGCGCGGGCGTTGAGGATGTGGCTGAGTTGTGCCGCAAGTGCTGGGCCCGAGCACCATTGTCAGTTCGCGTAACTTGTCATGCTGATTAAATCGCAAAAAGGGCGTTGCAGCATTGTGCTGGGCCTGCTTGCTGAGCTGGTGCTTGTCTGTGGTTATCCGAGCTCGCTTATGGCCCAGACCTTATCATTTCCGCTAGTTGCACCCTCTCCATGCTTCTACACATGGTGTGTCGGGCAGATCCGGATGCTTGGCTCTGGAGGTCCCAGCGGCGACTGTGCCTGCTTTGGTACGACCGTCGAGTCCCGGTTTGGGAATCTCAAACCGGGAATGCCGGAGGCCACCCAAGTTCGTCCGGCCCATGAAGGCTGATGCTCATGATGCGCTGTCGGCTGGCTTTGCGCTGGGCTTTCTTTGGTGAGCCTTCGGCGGGCTACGTTACCGCTTTGGAGGAGGGGCCTACTGACCCGACAGGGCTACTTCAGTTCAGTGCCGTTTTCGAGCGTGCCACTGTGTTCCGCTCAGACGTGCATTGTTCCTTGTGCCACTGTGGCTGTATTTTCCATTTCTGTGGCTGCCGGATCTGCAGGGCCCAGAGGGACGGAGCTCGAATGCATGGCATGCCATGGCGGCTAGCGTGCACTTGCGCTGGAGTGAAATGGGTTTGCAGCCTCGCACTTGAGCATTGTGCTGTGCAGGATTGCGCCTCGTCAGGTCACTCACTTACAGATTGTTTATTACATAGTTTTGCTCAATCATTGTTAGGAGCTGTGCCCGACGTCAGACTTCGCCATGGCTGGTCCTGCGCTGGATGCCCTCCGCCAGTGCCTGAATGATGCCCGAGTGCCGGCAGAGCTTGTGACCTTTGCCATCGAGAAGGTCGGGCTCCAGTCCATTGAGGACTTTGTCAATGTTGTGACCCAAGCGGCTTATGAGACGGAACTGGTCACCATCCTTGTAGATGCTTGTCCGGACACCAAAAACAACCCATTGGCTACAGCACGGATTCGGGCGGCCTGGCGTTCGGCCAGGGCGCAGACGCTTAAAGCCGAGCTCAAGAAACAGCAGGGAGTGCCAGCAGAGGACCTCGACGAGCCGTTGGAGCCGTCTACGCAAGATTCCCTGCTTCAGGCATGGAAGCGAAAGTATGCCTTGGAGTTCTCGGTGTACCTTCAGCCATCAGACGCCTTACTAGGCCGGTTGTACCGCGAGCTCACCAGGGGTACCCCCACGCTCATTCCGATTGCTAAAGTGCGCAGCCTGGCATTCTGTAATCGCTCCCAGGCACAAGAGCGTCGCATCAACCTTTCGGGGCAGGTATCCATCCAGGTGGACAAGGACTTGTCGGATATGCCTGTGAACAGCATTGTTGCTTACTACCAAGGATTGAGAATCCTGGCGAACGGCCTTTCCATAGTTGGAAACATGCAGGTTGACAGTAAGGCTTCCCCTGGCTCAAAGTGCACAGCAGCCCCGCTGCATGTGAACTTGGCTTATGCCGACAATGCCCTCAGATGTGCATCGGATTTGCAGGCCTCATTGGAGTGGCTGAGGGCGCGGGACGAGACGACACGTGCACGTGCTGTGGAGCTTCAGAGGGAAGGCTGGCCTCAAGGCGAGGCTTTACAATCGGCCTGGCAGTCTCAAGAGATCTATTGGCTGTTGGCGCCACCCCCGCCTGCTCCAGCGGGCAAGCGCACGCTTGAGACGCCTGAACCCGCTTCGCCTGCTAAGGCAGCGAAGCCCAGGACTGCTAACATGCTGGGCAATCGTTACATATGCAAGAAACGCAACGACAATCGTGGTTGCACATCCAAGGTATCGGATTGTCCAGACTCTCGTGCTCACGTTTGTGATATAGTAAAGGCTGACGGCCAGGTCTGCGGCAGCCGGGATCACACCCGCAATCACAGCCCCTTTCGCTAGGGGCTTGGCCGGGCAGGGCTACCTGTATGTTCTGATGTCCTGCCTGAGGCCGCTTCGCGTAGCCAATCTGCGGTTCGGGCTAAGCTGCCTCAGTCTGTCAAGTTATGGAAGGGAGCCCGCAAGGTGATTGTGGCGTCTGTTGAATGCCTTAGGCCTGGACGTGTTGTCTCTGCTTCGCAAGCACCACTCATGACTTTGCGAGAGTCCCGCCTTCACTCCACAGATCCGGTGAGGGGTGAGCAGTCAGCAAGCCAATCCACCCGAGTGGTGTTGACCAAGGCCTCACGGAGCGAGCATATGAATCCCAGGATGCGGCATGGTTCTGGCCGTCTGGTTTTAGTTGAGGGTTGTCAGGCCATGTATTCCGCACCTTGCGCTGCCGTGCCAACACTCGCCACTGACTTCGCAGGCCTGCGTATTGCCACCTATGCTGGCACCTCAGCCATTCCACAGCTTCCTTGGCCCGCCCCTTGGCAGGGCCCAGTCCTGCTGATCTCATTGTTTGATGGTATCGGGGGAGCTTTGATTGCTTTGACGGCGCTGGGTATCACCTTTGCAGCTGTGACAATTGAAAGTGATCCGGTGGCGAGCTCAGTTGTGGCTAATTCTTTCCGTCATGTCGCACAGTTCTCAGACGTGCTAGATTTTGATGTTGCATGTCTTGCGCCACTCCTGCAATCGGGAAGATTTACATTGGTTATGGTGGTGGGCGGCTCCCCGTGCCAACAGGTCAGCCGGTTGAACCCGGGCCGCCGGGGATTACAAGCAGCCGCAACCCAGCTGTTCCAGCATGTGCCAACGGTGGCAGCGAACATTAGGACCCTGCTAGGACACTTGCATGCTTCTGTCCCAGTGCTGGCGATCCTTGAAA